TAAACATGTTTGTATCTAGACTAAACATGTTTGTATCTAGACTAAACATGTTTGTATCTAGACTAAACATGTTTGTATCTAGACTAAACATGTTTGTATCTAGAATAAATAAACATGTTTGTATCTAGAATAAATAAACATGTTTGTATCTAGACTAAACATGTTTGTATCTAGACTAAACATGTTTGTATCTAGACTAAACATGTTTGTATCTAGACTAAACATGTTTGTATCTAGAATAAACATGTTTGTATCAAGAATAACCATGTTTGTATACAGAGAAAAATTTTGACAGGTAGTTCATGTGTTAAAACCTTCGGAACAACATTACATACACTATATCGCTAGTGTAAATGACACATTGCCTCCATTAATCTGATAAATAACATAGAAACACAAGTGTCGTAAGAAGACAATTATGTGATTCGTGCCCGGTCTGGCCTAGAATTCACTAACTATGGCATCAAATCGACTAGCTGAGAAAAGTCCAGAGATAGATCAAATAGATCTATATAAAATAAATGCCATACATTTTATCAATGACAATGCATGTTTGGTACCACTTGCATGGACGTACTGTATACATGTATATATTGTTTGTTGAATGGGTTGGAAACTTAAACACATGGATATCTACTAGAGTCAAATACATGTTCGATTTTAGAAAATGATTGTTAAAACATCCCTTCAGTGGCTTCACTTGCAAACCTCCGCTAGTAGATTTTTTTCGCCTCTTTGAACAAATTCGAAAAGAATTTAACATCATTGTTATAATTCTAAATGCATCCTTGATTGTTGCAATGTCTGTTCTCCGTTTCGTTTTTTATATGCATTCGTACTGTATTTGATGAAAAGAGAACTTCTGAGAGAACGTTCTGTGAGCCAGGTTCTGAATAAGCGAGTACATTTTTCAATCACCTGCTAAACTTTGTGAGTGGCAAAAATAGGTAGTTTTGATTCTTAGTGATGGAAAGCTATACTCTCTAAGCACCGATAGATTTGACTTTAGTCCCCACAGCTTTATTCTGGTGAAATACGTTCATATAGTCCCTTTTACGGATCTTTATCTGAAGCAAATATATTCATTACACTCCCACTATATAGAATGAATACAGGACTACTCAGGTTTATTTTTATTTGATGTTTTATTTTTTATTGGCTTCAACCCATTAAATGCCAATTTAAATCTAATTATAAATAAGTACCTATGAATTTTTATCAATTTTATATCAGTCTACCTGTTTAATGTTGAACAGTTTCAAAGCAATCAGAAGAAATTTAAACATAGATTGAGAACTAATGATCGAAATCCATGTTTATCACTGGATTTTAAATCAGCGTATTACTTCAGTCTACTCCCAGTAAATGTGACTTTCGTAATATTTTAGAATGTGAATGAAGTAGTAAATTGGTTTCCAATATTTTACCAAATTCTATTCAACATTCCGAGTCGTTTATGGAAACCTCCAGGATCCCTCATTTACAATACTCCTTATTTGCATTCAGTATTTCACATCTTTTTCAAATAGCATGTGCACTATGTCAGATTCTTAGGAATTGGAAACCGAGTGATTTATTTTCTATTTCTTTAAAAAGAAATAGGCTGCATATTAAATGTTTTTAAAAAGGTGATTCATTGATGTATCTTTTCACCTGAAAATGAAAATTCTGTTCCTCTGAACGACTGTGCCTGATAATTTGTTTAAGACTTTAAATTTGTGAAGTTGATTGTATGAAAACACAATATAACATGCCTTTGAATGTCACCATACCAGGCAAGGTTTTCATCACTGCCGAGTGCTATGAACTCGTTGATATTTTATCAGTGCAAATCTTCTTCCCCTTTAGTAGAGAAATCTACGTTCTGAGGTGTGTGACCGACATAGGGGGTGATGAAATTAGCATCTAGCTGATAATGTGTGTCACCAGAAAGTGGGGTCCAACTTTACTTGTAGATAAGGCCTTGTGTCACTGTCTAGCAGTGAGACGATTTCTTGTAGTGGTGTAATACTACACAAGGTGTGCCAGCAATAGAAATTCAGAGATTGCTCTGAATTCAACTTTGTTTTATTAAGTACCCAACTATCTTCTTAATTATCTGCCTGATCTGATGGTACAGATGAATACCACTATTTCTGTTGACACTAATCTGATTTCTGTTTTATTCACCTGCGTATTTCCCCATTTTAAAGCCCCAACCTATATCCCCAACTACAATGTACATGATATATATGTAGATATCTGCTTGTGCTACCCCACGTCCCTCCCATCTATCCATCCGAGCTGTATAAAAGATCAATCCCAATATACAAGATCACCTTGACCCCCTCCCCAAACCCATCCCCAAATATACAAGATCACCTTGACCCCCTCCTAACCCATCCCCCTATATACAAGATCACCTTGACCCCCTCCCTACCCATCCCCCAATATACAAGATCACCTTGACCTCCCCCAACCCATCCCCCAATATATACAAGATCAACTTGACCCCCCCTAACCCATCCCCCAATATACAAGATCACTTTGACCAACCCATCCCCCAATATACAAGATCACTTTGACCAACCCATCCCCCAATATACAAGATCACTTTGACCCCCTCCTAACCCATCCCCCAATATACAGTATAACATAACTTCCACCCGTCACTGTACATGGGCTATTATCCCCTACACCCAACCTCCTTTACCCTAATATTCACAGTATAAGACCTATATTACATGCAGAGCAGCATGTTTGTATCCCCCTAACACATATATACATGTAAACGGGATATGTTACACATACATATGTAGACACAAGATTTAGACACATGTATTACATAAGACATATCCAACATAAATTTAATATGATAGACTTATCAACATCAAACTAATATCAAAAGCTCAATCAATCCCGGTAACTGAAATGTCCGGTAATCAGTTTGGCTTTAATTTATGATCATAGATAACAATTTCTGGACCCAATTTTAATTAA